TTCTCCTTTTTCGGGGCTTTATTTATTTATTTATTATCGGGCTTTATTTTTGTATGCCCCTTGTATCGTTTCCTTTGTCCTTAATGAAGCTTTGTATTGTTTCCTATAAAGAATTGTAAAAAAACTTAGCCAGACTAAAAGAAAGCACAAATGCTCTTTTTACTACATTTTGAAGTCTACTTTACTACAACATACATGACTTTTTATAGCCTAAAACAAAACCCTTCACCTTTCAAAAGACATTTCAACATTCATATTTTTTACCATAATTAGCCACTATGTAAATGTAACCAAGTAAAGATGTTGAAGCTGCATAAATTATTTGAATTATGCCTTCTATGCTCAACCACGATAAAAAAATAGAATGACCGTGTAAAAGTAATTCCTGTATTGATCCAAAACAATCTATATGCTCCTATTTTTTTATAAGATTCTAGCTAGAAACATATAAGTAATGTAGTGTGCCTCTTTGTGGGTATTTGGTAGCCATGTATGTAAGGATATAATCAGTGATTTGATAGCAAAAACAATAAGAAATCCAAAATAGAATATTATTTCTAGTGCTATAGGATACAATCGATTGGTTAGCTGATCTTTTGGATAATTTTGAAAACCTCCATTACTAATCGTATATCTTGGTGTTTCTGAGTGGCCTTATTATGATGATACATATTATTGAAGAAAAAACCTGATTTAAGGAATATTTGTATAATCCAGTATCTATATTGTTACCTAATAACTAGATATCTACTTAGATTTATTTTATTTCATTACCTATTATTTAAGGATTTATTTAGATTACCTAGTATTTAAGGAATTTAGATTATCTATTGATTTAGATTTAGTTAGCATTTCTCCATATAAAAGGGACATGTAATTTTTTGAAAATAGATACGAAAAAACAGCGGTCTAATTTAGACTTGTAACACATCTATGGTAGTACATCCGAATAATAGTGAAAACTCAATCTGGTTGATCAATCTTTTGAGTCTTCAAAATAATTCTTTATTTGAAAAAAAAGAGAAGAAATTAGCCCCACAGTCAGTGCACCATTATGGATTGCTGTGAGTTTTAGGATACTGTATTTCCAATCTATTGATTTATCTCATCTTTTATGCATATGTACTTGATTATTGTTGTTTCTTGTTTTTCTGAGTTCTTATTGCCAAATATATACCAAGATTTTTCTTTGTTGAACCGAGTGAGTTTAGTTTTTAATGTAAAATCTCTGAGAAACTTCTTACTGAATTTGCAATTAGTCAAAAAAGCTTGTTTTTACAAGTAATTATAGACTAACAGCCTACAAAGCCTTAATCAACCGATGGATTTAATCTACTAACCAATTGAGGTAAATCTTAAAATTTAACCTTTAAGATTATACATCCCTTTTGTAAATTTCAATCATCAATTAAATTGTCTCTTATATATATAAAAACAAAAAAATTAAATTTTACCTTGGTTAAAAAAAAACATTTAACCAAGGATGAAGAACTTGTTAATAACAGCCAATAAACGCATATGAAGGCCCAAGAAACCACACATGAAATACATGAAAGTGCTCAAGAAATACACTACATCAGTTTTTTATTTCCTTGCATCCTAGTTTAATCAACTCAAATACAATCTTCTTGCAAAGATCTATTATTTATTAAGTATTGATAACAAGTTTGCTTTTTTGCAGGATGAAAAATCAGCTACGTGCTTTCTCCTTCATTGTCAAAAATTCATTGAGTTAGTCAGGGTACTTTTTTCGTTCTTGAAATATGGAAATGTCACATGTTTTCAAATCGTAATGCAATATCTGAATTGTTTTTTTAGTTTCCTGCTATTATTATATGTAGGTTGGAGCACTAGAGGAGGCTGTTAAATATGGAAGGAATCAATTGGCAAAGTTTTATGGTCTGCCTGGGTTTCAGGACCTAGTTCAGGTACTGAGATTTTTCTTCTTAGTAGGAGTGGAAGCATTTAGTACAAGTCTCAATTCCTTGTGTTCTAGTGTCATTTACATGTTTGTTCATGCAAAGATTTTTTAGGATAGAAGTGTTTATATGTTGACTGCAAAGGTGCTGTCAATAAGTAAACAAGATTGTTTTTTTTCGTGGTTAGGAATACAAGATTTATATAATAAATTAAGAATCATAACGATGTTGTTTGGAGTGTGGGGTTTAAACAAAAGTGCCAGAGTTTTGGACTTTTGATTGAGGAAAAAGCTACAGAAGTGTTCTAAGGAGAATCTAATTTAAATTGATTTAAAACTTATCTTCTTGTAACAAGAACAGTTGTATCCCAAGAAACATGTAGAAGTCAATGAGTGGATTGGGTCCAAACCTAATGGGGAAACTAGGTAGATTGTAAAAACCTACTCTAGTTCACCATGAAACATTATTAGAATTGCAAAACTAATAGTAATGAAGCCAAAGGGTTGTTTCCTACTAATGCACACTAGATTTCCCAAAAAATGCCCAAGCTGTGCAAGGGTCTTATTTTTATTATGGTTATTATTTTTAAACAATGTTGTACAAGGGTTTATGGGTGAGGCTTCATTGTAATTAGAAGAAAGTAGGTGATCTTGTGAACCATATCTTCACTAAGGTGTTACTCAGAATAGTCTAATATATGCCAAAACTTCTCTGGAAGGCAACAATAAAGAAACATGTAATCAAAGGTCTTCACTCACTTTACTTGAAAAAACTGGCGTTAGGTTTGATTTTCCATTTTTGTTTTCAATATGAAACAAACATTTCATTGATGAGAGGAAAGTTCCAAAAGAATGGAAGATCCGCTGTCCTCTCATCCCCATCAGCAACCAAAGGAAAATATAATGAACTTCTGCTAGTGTTCTTTATAGAAAAGGACACATAATTACAAAATTGTATAGAGAGAGTACACCTAAGAATGATAAAATGTCACTTGGACTCAAAATTGGAAAATTTTTGTGAACATTCTCAAAAGTTCTATTTCTCCTCCAATCAAATCTTTGAAAGCAGTGTGTTAGCAGCTATATTTTCTTTTTTTCATTTGGATTTCTTATGCCACTTACGTATTCATAATGTTAAATCCTTGAAGTTAGTTGGAAATGTAGTACACTAGACTACAACCCATCTGTTGAAGAATGATGTTTTTCGTTTGCAACATAGATTTCTAGCGCATGATTCTCTCCGTATGGTTTAATAAGACCCTGTTGTAACTAATAAGAATGAGGAACTCCCTTTTCTCAGGACTCTGTTGCTTTGCTGGCATATGAACGACCACAAGAGTCCCCTGTTGGTTATCTTCTTGAGGATTCACAGCGTGAAATTGTAGCTGACACAGTGAATTCCATGGTCTTATCAACTAATCCGAATGTGAAAGATTTGCAAGGTTGCTTGCATCCACATCTCGAACGGTTACTCAAGCAGCTTACTGCTTGCTGTTTGGTAAGAAGGTCTTTGAATGGGGATCAAGGTGAAGCTTTTCAACTCCACAGAGTGCTTAACAGCAGTAAAAAGGATAAGTGCTAGTGCCTAGGACACGACCTGTTCTATGCCTCATAGACCTTTTCCTCATTATATTCTGTGCCTGTAAACACTCTATTTAATAGGGGGCCAGCAGTGTTTCATTTCTGTAGGAAATTGGGGTTCTCTCTATGCATGCTTGAAATCTTGTAAAGTCAGGACTCTTCTTTGTATGAAATTTGTATGAACTATAAGCTTGATCAGGTTTAATGAAATTCTTATAATGCATGCACATCTATTGCCCCTCGTTTTGCTAACCACAGGCAACAATTGGGAAGAGAGATTAGTGGGAAAATTAAACAATGATACTTTACTACTTTGCTGTCAAGACGGGGATCTGAAATGGCCATTGAGATGTAAAAAGTCCTTAAATTGTAGGGTTTTGCATTCTTTTACTATTTCTTATTCACAATGAATCAGACCTAAGTTAGGTGTCATATGCACTGCCCACTGGCGTTTGCTTCCATATTCAAATACAGTGCTGTTCCAATCTGTTGTAATTTCCCAATAACATGAGGGGAAGGCTTTTTATTTGCTATGATTCAGATTGAAATTAAGTGGTAATTGTGGATGACTAGAGGTGCTTTGGTTCTCAAGTGAGATATATAGTTGCTTTTGAATGCTTCTCTACAGGTGTTACTCAAAAGGCTGATGAACTTTGATTGGCATCTGCCTTCTGTCAATAGGGAACTGGTTTCTCTTGTTTCCTGGTCCCAAATTCAGGTCGCATTCACCCTGTAAATTCTCAACTATATATGCAATTAAATCTGTGGAAACTCATAAAAAAAATATTTTTGAAAACTCATAAAAAAAAATTCAAAAAATATTGAATCAATGATACTACATCAATTACATTTTAGTGAGATATGAAAATGTTGATGGAAACTTAATACATAGGAAAGGAAAGAAAGAAATGGTTGGAAGCATTTCAAAAGTTTCTAAAAGTATGAGGAAAATAATTAGTAAGATGAACTTATAAATACGAAACAATGAACAAGTGAGCACGTGACCGTCTATACTAATCGTTAGAATGCAAGTGACAAGAAGAGTTAGAAAAATCAAATAATCTAACCATTACAAATATTATCGAGTCATTAATCATCCCATAATGAAATTTTTGATATTCGAAATGAAATTTTAGCTAAATCTGAATGAGAAAGCTAACAAAGATCATGCTACAATAATGGCAAATTAGATATACAACAATTTATTTTGTAATCACGGAACAAGTCTAATCCAATTGAACTTTTGAGCTCATGGTCGCCGAGTTTTAAGAGGAGGATTGAAAGGAGTAATTTTTTTAGTGGTTTAATATACATCAAACTTAATCCAGGCCAAACTTGCATTCTTTAAATTTATTCTTTAAATTTATTAACATTTTGAAAGATTGTAGCAACAATTTGACTAAATAATTTTTAAAATTTTTTAAACACAATTAGAGAGAGAAGAATTATCTATATATATTTTAATAAAAATTTACAAAAATTAAGATTAATAATAAGGGTGTTCATCCAAGTGGTCGCGCGAATTTGACACCATTTCCCGCTCCCTCCTACTTCTTATGGGTTCTTGAGTGTGATATGAACTCGATCATTGCAGGAGGGGACATCTCTTCGGAGATCCGAAATTTGGGACGAACAATTAACGCACTGAACAAGCAGGGCTAATCCTATTCTCACCATAATCAATTATGTTAAGAGGAAGAGAAAGCTTGGTCCGATTGGTAGGGAAACGGAGACGCTTTCTTCCTAATCGTCTTTCTCTCCTCTCCTCTCCAGTTGAGGTAGGAGCTTATTGCTCCCTTGTTCTTCTGATCGCATTTTGAGTTCTTTCTTCAGTCTTGTCTTATACATCTTTTCTTTTTTTTTTTTTTTTTTTTTTTTT